ATAGACTTGCGTTTGGGTTACTATCAAGTAAAGATCAGGGCAAAAGATATTTCCAAGACAACCTTTAGAACCAGGTATGGACACTATGAGTTCTTGGTCATGCCATTTAGATTAACCAATGCACCAGCCATTTTTATGGACTTGATGAACAGGATTTTCAGATAATTTCTGAATTAGTTCGTCATTATGTTTATCAATGATATCTTGATCTATTTAAAGAGCTGAGAGGAACACGCTCACCACTTGGCTCAGGTTTTGCAGATTCTTAAGAAGAAGAAACTGTATGCAAAATTGAGCAAGTGTGGATTTTGACTCAAGCAGACTACCTTACTAAGGCACATCATATTAAGGGATTGAGTATCAGTGAATCTTGAAAAGATTGAGGTAGTACTTAGTTTGGAGAAATTGATATCGGTTAAGGAGATTCATAACTTTTTGAGAATGATAAATTATAACCGTAAGTTTGTGAAAAAAGTTTCTAGCCTAAATACTCATTTGACCTGACTCACAAATAAGAATGTTAAGTTTGAATAGAATAAAGATTGCGAAAAAAGTTTTATAGAGCTCAATAAACGGTTGACTACTACACTCGTGTTAACTTTACTGAGTGGAACAGGTGGATATACAGTGTATAGTGATACCTCATAGCTGGGGTTAGGTTGTATTATAATGCAGCATGAGAAGGTCATAGCCTATAGGTATAAGCAGTTGAAGAGTCATGAGAAGAATTACTTCACCCATGAATTAGAACTTACCGCCATTATCCACGCCTTAAAGATCTGACGCCATTACTTGTATGGGAAGGCTTTTGAAATTTATACTAACCATAAGAGCTTGAAGCACATATTCACTCAGAAGGATCTCAACATGCATCAGAGACGTTGGATAGAGTTCCTCAAGAACTACGATTGTAATATTTTGTATCATCTAAGTAAGGGCAATGTGGTAGTCGACGCGCTTAGCAGAAAAAGTACAGGTATGTTAGCTTACTTAATGGTTTCTGAATTCAGGGTAATAGGAGTCGCACAACAGATACGACTTTAGAACTTGAAGAGAGTTACATGTTTGGCCCACCAGACTATCCAACCTGAATTGATCCAGAGAATAAAGGAAACTCAATTAACCAATTCTACTGTAGCAGCTATCAAGAAGGATGCAAAACAGAGAGTAAATCCAGAATTTCGAGTCTCTGCCGATGGATTGCTCAAATTTCAGGACATGATTCTTGTTCCAGATGACAGTGAACTGAAAAAAGATATCATGGTAGAGGCTCATAGCTCAAAATTCTCTATACATCCCGGAAGTACTAAAATGTTTTAAAGTATGTGACCCCGATTTTTGTGAAGCACGATAAAAAGAGAAATAACTGACTATGTCTCCAAGTATATGGTACGTCAACAAGTTAAGGTAGAATATTAACGTTCAGGTGGGCTACTTCAGCCATTACCAATCCTAGAGTGGAAGTGAGAACATATCACAATAGATTTCGTGATAAAGTTACCTAAAACATGCTCAGGATATAATACTATCTAAGTAATTGTTAACCAGCTCACGAAGTCTTCTCACTTTTTAGTTATCAAGATGACCAACCCATTAGATAAACTACCGAGAATATATATCCAAGAGATAGTCAGGTTACATGAAGTTCCAGTAATAGTGGTATCCGATAGAGACCACAAGTTCACTTCTCGATTTTGGTATAGTTTTTAGCAAACCATGGAAACAAAATTGTTCATTAGTACCACGTTCCACCTTTAAACTGATGGATAATTAGAGAGAATGATTCACACATTGGAGGATATGCTCTGAGCTTGTGTTCTAGACTTCAGGAGATGTTGGGATGATCACCTATCTTTGATAGAGTTCGCCTACAATAACAGTTACCAAACAAATATTGACATGGCCCCATACGAGGCATTATATGACTGCCCCTCTAGGTCGCCGATCTGTTGGGAAAAGGTGGGTGATAGAAAATTGTTCAGCCTAGATCTTGTAGAGGAGACTACAACCAAGATAGTTAAAATCAGGAAAAACATCCAAACAGATTAAAGTAGACAGAAGAGTTATGCGGACACTTGGATGAGAGATTTGGAATTTAAGAAAAGTAATCGAGTGTTTCTTAAGGTCACCCATTTCAAGAGAATCAGTAGGTTTGGTAAGAGAGAGAAATTAAATCCCCGATTCATTGGGGTATTTGAGATATATGGTCCATAATATATTTCATGTGTCTATGATATGCAAGTACAACTCGAACCCCTCACACATCTTGTCCCACAAGCCCCTTTTATTCTACAAAGATCTATCCTGAGCAAAATACTTTGTAACAGAGAAATCTCATTCCTTAAGATCTTATGACAGAATCACACATAGAATGAGACTACATTGGAGATAGAATCGGACTTCATAACCCAATACCCCAAACTGTTTGACTAAATGAGAGGGTAACAAATTTGAGAGAATAATTTTTTTTTAAGAGAGGAGAGTTGTGATACCCGGATCTAAAATTTGGTCCAGGATAAATTTTTGTATTGATAAAAATAATTAAAGATATTAATTTAATTTAATTTAATTTTATTAAATTATTTGAGAAAATTAGGTTTATGACAAAATTCAAAGCAATTTTAGAAAAAATGGATAAAATTTTGAGTTTGAAAGGTGTTTTTTTTAAAAAAAATTAAAAACAGGAGGTTAAATGCAAAAAAGAAAAGT